AAATTAAGAGCATTTACGTAGATGACCAAGTTATGAGTAAATCGTTAAATATTTATAATGTTTGTAAATGAGCAATAAATTTTTATTATTACGTTATTTGGCCTAAAAAGCATTTACGGAAAGTATTTGGAGAAAGAGAAGGGTGGCTTCCTTATGTACACCTCTATGTTGTATATAATTATATATCATTATAGAATTATTTTGCATTTTTCATTAAGTTACATTTTCCATCGTTTTCTTGTAAGTGTTTTTATTTTCCTATTAACATGTAATTATAAGCATTGTAGCTGGATAATGTTTTCAATCCAAATTTGATTTCATTTTATAAATATTCATTATTATATTGTCGTAGTTAATCTTGTGAAATAGTGTGCCGTTAATTATAAATTATGATAGTGTAAGAGTGAGAGTAAGAATACAATTATACAACAAATTATTTATGTGGTGAAAATTTCTACATTATTTATGAGAATCGGAATGTTGAGACAATATTTGGATTGGCTTCAGTTGTAATTTAGGTCAGTTTTTATATCTGCCATGTGTAGAATTGGTAATTTTAATTTTTTCAAAAATGTTGCTGTACATGATATATATATATATATATATATATATAAATAATTTTACTTATAATTTAATCAAGATATATGCTTGAACATAAATAATATATTTGTTATAAGAAATAGCTTAAAACTGAAACATTAAAATATTATATCTTTTATTATTTAAACAATAAGAATTATTAACAATAAGAATTATTAAAATATTTGAACGATTTGGATTTCTCATTTTACAACTATTCCGAGAAACATAAAATTAAATTAAACATTGAAATTTAGTATTTTCGGCAAATATATAACTTATATAAAGAATAATAATGGAAAAAACAAACAATGGAGTTATCATTGTAGATTACTAGATGTTGTTATGAACTTCATTATGATAAAAATAAACAATATAAGGTGATTTTAAAGATCGAAGCAAATTTCATTTACTTAGTACAGATCATAAATATTATTTTCACATATATTAGATAAGCTAAATATCATATATATTAATATAATTTTAAAATCTTCAAAATCAATTATTTTAGACCCATAGTAGTGAATTTCACACACGCGCGCGCGCGCGTATAATAGGTTTCACGTATATATATATATATATATATATATATATATATATATATATATATATATATATACATATATATATTTATCAAAATGCGCGTATGTCAAAAATTAATAAAATAAAGATATTCTCTACTACAGTTTTGCTAGTGTATAAATAAAAAATGGAGATACGCAATAGTTGAAACGTTAAAATATTATATTTCATTACAAGATAATTTTAGTTTTCCCTCTCGATAAGTTTCCAGTTCCATTCACCCTTTATAACTTGACCAGGGGACTTATGTCTCACACTGTTTTACATTTCTCTTTCAACAAATTTAACAAGGACATCAAGTCAGAGTTGATATAACATAAGGTCTATGGTGAAATTCCTGCGTCAATAACGCACGATAGTATTATTACGTGAGTAATACAATCGGCTTCCATATTATTAGATTTTCCAATGCCAAATATTCAAGTTCAAATGCCTCGAATGTCAATCTTTCTGTTATTATTATTATCATCCAATCGCTCTTTAGCGAATAAACATAAGGGCAATTAAGTATAGTGACATTGGAAGCATTAAGCTATTGCTATTAGCTATTGCTACAGCGTTTAGCTATTGCTACGCTACCCAAAGTACGGTAAGAGAGAATAAATAAAAAGTAAGGATCGCGTCTTGCCACTGGTTCCGGAACCCGGAGGCTCTTTCGCGCTCACCGGCTGGCTCTCCGGTTTTCATGGCCGCGACTTTGAAAGTGAAGTCAGAGCGTCTGTACACACTCTCTACAAAAATCTTGGCGGGCGTGGTTTGCCAAGGCCCAAGAAATTCTCCTACGCCCTTGTTTTTGCATCGGGATTCAATTGAATCGCCACTCGCCTCGCCTCTCGTATGTTTTTATTTTTCTTTGCGAATTTTGCTGATCCGATATCAAAGTGAACTTTACTTTACCGATGTACTGTCTCGGACGTGACTTATTTGTGCACTCAGGGCTATCTTTCCAATGTATATTTGAATAATTGCAATGGCCTGCTCCGCTATTTGGAGCTATACATCTCGTTGAATTTAAAAGTAAAAGGTTAATGTGTATACATTGAGCGGTTAAATGATGTTAAATATTTAACTGCGCAGATCATTTTCAAGACGAATTTTACGTCTGGATATTTAATTGGCAACACATATTTGCCAATATCTAGGCGATAATTTTATGATTTTATGATTGCGATGAATGATTCGTTATTAGCAAAAATGTATTATATTTATAAGAGCATTATCGCTTTTAATCCACACTTTTCTATCTATTTTTCTGCCAAAGTAGCGGCTGTAGAATTGTAGAATACGAATGAATTCGTTCCCCGTAACATGTTTGTCTAGTTAAGTAAAGATAAATTTCTAGCAATAATTTACGTTTTTTTGGACTTAACTTTTTATTCTTTTTTTTTATAATTTCTGTAATTTCTGTAATTTCTCATTATATGAACTTTTGTGCAACGTAGTAGTATCATTGTATCCGATAATTACTATATGATAAGATTTAATATTAATTTCGTACGCTTAGTGTTTTATTTATTGTTGATATTAGAATTTCATTCTAATAATAAATTGGTAGCTTAGCCCTGGCTAAAAGATTAGAAACTATTCATATTCGTATTAATTATCAAGAATGTTAATTAATAATTAATATTTAACTATTACATATTAATATTGAACTGAATCCAATTTAAGATATAGTTATAACATTCGAAAAAATAAATAAAAATATTTAGGATTTTATTTGGATCACTTGATAATTAATTATGACGCCAAGTCTCAAATCTTTGAAGAGTATTGATTCGTAAGTTATTAATAATTATAAATATTTTTTCATGTAATAAAAGTTGAAGTTTAAGGGTGGTATCGTTAGTTAGTGAGTTAGAATTTTACATGAATAGCATATTTAAGATTTGCAAGAAATCGTATAAGTTTTGTCAACAGAAGAGTATCTAATGGTCTTCTTGTTACTAGCTAACTGTTTTTGTTTTGTTCTTTTCTTGTTGTCGAAAATTTTATTATTAGAGTAGGAATGTATGAAAGTTTTATTTTTGAGTTAATTAAAGCAATATTGATTATGAAAAAATAATTACTGATATTATGCTTTCAGCATTTCTTCGATCAGCAAATACAAACAATATGATTGAATAAGTAGTGAATAATACTTTTATGATCAAGTATAATTTTATACACATGCAAAGGCATAATATTATTTCACTATCATAATATTAAAGATAAAAGAGCAAGTCATTTAGTGATAAGCAAAATTTCTCCACAGATTTAATGACTATTTCTGTTACATTTATGCATCAAGGTATGCTTTTAATTGTCAATCAAACGATGAATCATTACGGAGTTATTTTACAATATAGTTGTTAGTATGCAATTTAATTGAAAAATCTGAAGCAATCGAGTGCGGATTAGAGACTTCAGATGAAAAAGAAAATTTTTGGCATATTTGTTATTTTTATTATCATTAGTACTTAATGATTGTACTTTATTGACTTTTAATCAATATTGTCTTCTCACTACATTGCTTCTGTTTTTTCATATATTGATAATAGCGATATGCAATACATCGAAGTTCTTTGACCCTTGAGCCGCCCTTTTCTTGGTCATTATAATTATTTTAAAGACGGCTATTTCTACTTTGAGTAACAGACATTGAGAAACAAAGAACGGGTCAGGATTATTTCTTAAATTCGTAATCGAAATTTCTTTTCTCATAATTGCAATAGATTCCGTTGAATAGTCGCGCACATATGCTGATGCATACGGCAGTACAGTTACGATACAAAGACGTTAATCCTTCTCGAACGATAATCCAATATACTTATTTTAAATTTAATATTTTTGTGTAATTGCTTTAAAGTATGGGACGCTCTT